ATGAGTACTTACCTCCAGACTCTTTACAAAGATAAACTGGAAAATATAATGAATTCGTGCACCACCAGACAGCTCAGAGGTTGAAATTTCTTCACTTTTCCCCTCCACCAAAGAAGAAAATGCTGTCATAAGCAAACCAAAGTATTTGAGTCTCTGAAGGGCAGAAAATTGAATGAAACAAAACAAAGCTCAGGTGAAGATTGCAATGACACTGTGAAGTGTGAACAATATAACTGCATTTTAATAACAGATAGTTAAATTTCAATGATAAAAGAAATGACATGTCAATCCAAACCTTCAGCATATTTGGACAGGATGTTAAGCAGGAGAGTTCCTTGGCCAGCCTGCAGCACATGGGAACATAGAAACAATTATGAATTGAGATTACAGAAATTGCAGCACATATATCAAAAGCATCTAAAAGAAATGATGTAAGCTAAATTATAGGCATCACGGTTTTTTTAGCTAGCTGATACCTATGACAATGAGAAAACAATATGTGAAATAGGTATATTATCCAATTCCCATCAAGCTCAACTTGTAAAAGGAGAGATGGGGGGGGGGGGGGAGGGGTAGAAATGAATTGAAGAAGAAAATCCATCATAGCATCAAACTGTTCTTATTAAATTCATTGTTACTTTGGAAATAATAGTCAGATGCGTCTAATTTTACATTATCAATTGGTCTAAATTCTAGTAACAAACCGTCCTTTTTGCAAATACTTAATAAAGCTGGGAAACTAAGAAGGTTGTATACATTTCACCAAGCACCCAAAGTTGTGCAGGTGGTCTAATGATATGACAAGATATGATTCTCTTGTATTGAAAGTGCAAATGAGAAGTTAGGTATAGGACTATAAGCAACACAAGAACCTAATACACTATAAATGTGATGCCATATTCTATTAAAGAAATTCTATGACGTGCAAAGAAATAGAACAATTTCTTCCCTGGCCATTGGAAAAGAAAAAGTCCCTACCAAAGCTTTTCTCAAAGAGAAATTCAGCTTCACTAGTAGATGCAGGTTTTGTCAATCTGTCCTAGGTTGTTTAAGCAAATCAATGTCAAAGATGAGTCAGAAGCACGATAAAAAAAAAGGTTAATGGATTGATGGGTTGTTGAAGTTGAACTCCTACATATGCGGAAAGAAAGAATATGATAATTAAATTAGGCTTCGCGCTGTAATAGAGAGGTTTTTGTGACTGGAGCCATGTGCTTCATTGTGAGCGCTATTTTCTTTTAGCATTTTGTAAATATGATAAGAAAATAAATGCATTAGGCTTTCTCTAAATGCTACTTTCTCATGTTCAACAGCTTGATGATTTTGTACATAACCCTATTATAGGCTTGACACCACCTTGGTCTCCTTTTGACTGAATTTAAACATAAAATAATAAATATAAGAACCAACAAAAGGAGGAGAGCTTACTCTTGTATCAGGAGTCTCTCCATAGCTTGCATATTCCTTTGTCACAGTGACCAGCTGTGAGCTTATCGCTGACTTTAATGCCGGAAGACATTCTCTGATATGTTGGACCAAAATCTATAAATAAAGGCAGTCAGCAAAATTCACACCCAAGAGAATAGAGCATAATGTCAAGATAAGAACCTGGTTCAACTTCTTTGCTAATTGTGGAACACCACAACGATCGGCTAGATTAACATATTCCTGCAAAACAAGATAAGTATTGATACTAAGGTCCAGACAGCCATTAAATTTTGTGAAAGAGTGCGGATCCAAACAGACTCCACCACTATAGAACGAAATGAAATTCAAAACTTTAATCATACAGGATGGGAGCGGAAAAATCTCTCTTCGGCTGCCAGGGCATCCTTTATGCTGCGATTGCGCATAATGTCCTGCTCATCAAACAAAGAATGTGACCAACAACTTCTAAATGGCACCACAGAACCCAAAACTCGTAAAGTCAATGTAAATTTCCAGGTTTATTTTTACATAACAAAAGCATTACCTCTTGGCTGCGGTTAACCACTCCTACATAACCAAGTTGAAGAGGAATAACTTTCCCAAGTAATAAATTACGGGCATCAGTACCCCTATCCATGATATCCAACTGAAACCAAAGGGTAGAGAATGTAAAATACTTCCACTTTGCAATGACAAAATAAATAACATATTGTATCAAGCTCAGTTAAACCTTTGTAATAACACCAATAGTCCGCTTCCCTGGAAACAAGAAAAAAAGGAAATAGCTAAGCAAATGTAGGAAGTATAGAGTAAAAAGTGGTGAAACAACATGACTACAGAAATACTCCAATCCGCTTGTGCTCATTTGATTGAAAGAAAAGTATACATAAGTGATGATGGATTTATAATACACAACATCAAGCAAATATTTCTTTTGACAACATCAAAGACCCGAAAAAAAGAGATACAAGCAAAGCAAGCTTACCATCAGGATCAGCATTCCCTGCTATTTGAAGAGCATCAGAATTGGCTAAATCAGAGTTTGCTGGGGTAACAGCCAATATCAGGCAGCTAGGATGTCGTATGTATTTCATTATCATTGTGCGGATTCGTGCCTCAATATCAGAAGGCTGGTCACCAACTGGAACTCTTGTTATTCCAGGCAAATCTATCAAAGTGATGTCAAGAACATTGGGAGAGTAGATTTTTAAACGAATTGTTTTCTCTGAGATGCCCCTATTGCCTCCTGCTTCCCTTTCAGTTTCGGCCTAAATGATTGAGACAAGAGAAATTCCCAACAATTAGTACATAACTAACAGCCAAAAGTGGATGTGGACATGTGGTCATGTTTTTTGAGACCCAGAGATAAAAATGGCGATAAGCAAATGAAAAGTGTAGATAATAGGGATGGGACATGAGAAGGCAGATAGTGCCATTAGTTGATTGTGATCCTGAAGGTAGAGTTATGAAAAACAAAAAGAAGTCCCGGGAACGTAGCTTTGCCACTGTTAAGCCATGAAACAAGCCCAAGAATAGCAATGGTTATTTTGCTAACGATTCTCTATACCAAAGCATAGATAAGTTTTATGATATGAAGAAGACAACCACAACCACTTTGGTAGATTTCTGCCCACAGTACTACATTGTTCTTCCCCTCTTAATTCTCAATATGCTAGCCTAACATAAGAATGAAACTACTTCTTCGGCCTAAGAACGAAAACAGAAAAGCCTCGACAACAGTGGCATATTAAATGTCTTCCACAACAAATCAACTAGAAATTTCTCCATTTGGAAATAATAGTCACATACACAATAGCGATGAGAGATTCGGACAATAACTTTGTTCAATTCTTATACTACCATTTTAGGTCCCTATAAGCAAGCAACAACCCTCCTAAGTTCAAATCATACAAAATTACAACAAATTTGCCAAATATCAGCAAAACAATAAATCAATAATAATTACACAATACAAAATATCCTAAAAATAAAAATTAATCAAAACTAAATAAAATTAATATACCTGAATTTCATTTCGAATTTCAGAGAAATCATAAAACTTCCTGCCAGGCAAATGCAAGAACTCGCCGTACTCCACTTCGCCGACGCCACCATCAGCACCGCCATTATTAACCTTAGTTTGAATAAGCTGCAACATAAGCGGTCTCCGAGTAACAACATCAGGACCTCTAGGAAGAAAATCAAGGCCAACAAGAGCTTCAATGACGCTCGATTTACCGCTACTTTGACTTCCGACAACCGCAACTTGCGGCAAATTGATCGGAATCGAAACGCCAGATTGTGAGCAGATATCTTGAAGCTTGTTCACCACTGGTATAAGTGTTTGCCCTAATGATGAAGCTTTTTGTGGCGGCGATTGCGGTTGTTCGTCTTCTTCCGCCATTGTTGCAGAGCTTTATTGATTGAATTGAGCTGGAAATTGAGAAATTGAAAACCCTAGGTTAAAAAATTGAGAGTTTTGAGTCAGAGGAAAGAGAAAGAAGGAAGAAGAGGAATTCTGGTGAAATGTGGTGGATTGATTTCGTGCTCTCCAAACTAAAATGTGTTGATTGATTCGCGGGTAAAAAGATTGGGCTCAAGGATCAGTTTGTTTTTTCAGTTAGAGTTAGACAAGTAATAGGTTGTTGTTTCAATTGCTTTTCATACAAGAAAAAAAATAATTTTGATTTAATTTCTGTGGAGAGAGATTTAATAGTTTTAATTTTGAAATTTAATGTCTCCGTTAATGAAAATGTAATTTGAATTGATAATCATAATTTATTACGGAGTATTTCAAATTTGCAATAGTATTAAAACATTTTAAAATGAAACAAAATAATCCATACGAGTAGTCATTATTTAACTCAATAAAATATTTTTTTTTAATTGCAATAGTATGACTTTTGCAGTTTTTATTTAACGGCTTTTGACTTGTATCTTTAACTAATGTATACTAGTAACAAATAAATAGTAGTTGTTGTCAAAAAAAAAAAAAAAAAAACAAATAAATAATTCAATAAATTAGTTACAATATATTTTCATAATAACAATATTTTATAATTTATACTCATACTAATACAAAATTATAGTCAAATTTATGTATCGGCAATCATGTTCAATCAATTTTTACAATTATAAAAAAAAAAAAATAATAATAATAATAATAAAGAGCGATTTTTCTTGAATTAAAATTTGTCTTGTAATTCCAAATTGTAGTATGTCTGTATGTGTAATGTTTTATTACAAATTAATCATAAACATTTCTTTTTCAAGAAAAGCTTAATCATAAAATTGAACTCAAAAACTTTGTACTTACATACTGCCTCTGTAATCCCAATATTGGCACAAAATTGCCTTTTATAACCTTAGAATTCACCCAAAAGAAGGGGTAAACACTCTCATACTCCAAAGTACGAGTATATTTTCTTTAGCACTAGAAAACCTCGTGTCTTGTAAAATTGTGATTGACAAAAATGAATATATTGAGCATTTAAGCTCCACGCGAATCAAAATACAAGTGCTACACGACAGCCGACCCATTGTGAAAGCCAGTCATGAACACTCAAAAACACTAAAACAGTAAACTCATTGTGAATGTAAAGCCATGTACTCGTAACAATATAGAAAGTTCAAAGAAACCTTTATTCAATAACAAAGCCTGGTAGCATCTGAAACATCCACCAGGCTAAAACTATGAATAGGAGTCACCAATACCATAGACATCAAAGCATTTAAAAAGTGGCATAACAATAGGCATCAGCCCACCAGTACTAAATATATAAACCACCACTAAAAGTTTTGAGCTTCAATAGTCTCAAGAATTTCGTCATAAAAAACAATCTGAAGACTTCAAGCATTAATAGAACCAGAGTTCTTGCGGCATTCGCTCAACATATCAAGGTAGAACTGGCATCTGCTGATTTCACTCCCAAAATTGTTCAGGCACTGCACATTGACAAAAAACCAAAAATGAGATTGGCAAGCAGCCTACAATCACAACCTGATTTAATTCATTTTCCAGCGGTTAAAAAATATTACTCCGTATTATTGAATAGGAAATGGTCTGTTGCCAAATGATGATAATATCAAACTTCAAAGTAAAGCAAGAATATAACATACATCTTGGAAGGCCTTGTTATGGATTCCACAAGCATCACCAACACTGTTGTTAACAGAAGCTGGAGCAGCTGCCTCATTAACAACAGTTTCATGTTGGATTGTGCGAGGACCAACAACAGCATCCACAGCCCTGTGTGCAACGGCACTACCAGTTCCAAAGGCAACACCTACGGAAGCAAGAACAAGATAACAAATAAGAAATTTGAGAATAAGCCCTTGATATTTTCATGCTACCATTCTACAAAATAACTTGCATACCCTGAGCTATAGTGGCACCGAGACCCCCAAGCATAGATCCGCCGCTGGAAGCAGGAGCAGGGGCAGGTGGAGGAGCCTGGCGAGCTGCAAATAATTAACCACAAGTGAGCAGTGCATACAAGAGAGTAAAAACTACAAATTAGCATTTCAATGCCAGCTACTACAGTTAACTTCAGTTGATTATCACGAATTCTACTTGAGTTATTCAAAAAGGGATAAGTAATTTGAATCCAGAGAAGAAAGCCAATGTACCTGGCTGAGGAGGGTTACGAACTGGCCGAGCAGCAGGACGAGGAGCAGATCTTCCTCCTGATTCAACAAAGAAAAACAACTTGATACTATTAAAACAAAACCAATTCAAAACAAGTCACTGAACAAGAGTATCAGTCTTCGCACGAAGATATCAAAAGCAGAACATCTGAGCAACAGAAATTAATCAGGTTCAATCTCAACATATACATTTCTAACGTTGAAAAAGAGTTACAGATTTATAATTGCGCAGACATTTCATTTCTATAGCTATCTTCCGCAAAAATGAGAAAACCAAATCAAAGGATACCTAATTTACAGATTAGATTACAAACCAAGTTAGAATTTTTCACATAATCCAGATGAGATTATAATAACCCTAATTAAGCTCATCTCATACAATTACAGTACAATTCATCAAACCCTCAATCAAATCATGTCAAAACATCCAACTTAATCAAATTCTCGCCATTGACAAAATTTATGCATTACGAGTTACAAATTAAATCTTCAATGAATAAAAATAACTAAACTCCATCTTTTAATATTCCATATCTAATTGTATTTCCATCAAAACGTTTACAAATAAGTCAAAAAAGCCCTAAAAATCAAAATGAAATTGTAATCTAGATGAATAATAAAAACCCTAATTCCTAAAATACAGTAAAACATAAATAAAAATAAAGGGAAAAACAAAAGGAAAGAGGAAAGAGAAAGAGAAAGTACCACCAGAACGACGAGGCATGATTGCGATGAAGAAATGAAGCAAGCGAAGAAGAAGGTTCTGGAGGAGAGGGAGAGCTTAACTTCAGCGTTTTGAGGAGTTGTGAAATGCTTTTGAAAGGAGGAGAGAGAGTCTTATATAATGAGAGGGCCAGAAGTTCGCACTATTCTAATGGATTGTGGCCCAGCTTTTATATATTCAACGGCCCACTTTGGTTCTAGAATATGTCAAAGGAATAATCCGTATTTATCTTTTTTTTTTCTTTCTTTCTTTTAAGTGTAGTGTCTTATTGTACAAGAAATTGGAAATTAGATGAGTTCGTTTTTTTGGTTCAGATTAATCTACTTGCGTGAATCATGGCCTGAAAGCATATGCATTCATTTTTTTTAATACTACTGTATTTTTTTTTAAGAATTAATAATTATGTTCGTAATATTCAAATTTTGAATGTGATGTGATTGTATCATTTTTTATGTACCTCACTTTTTTTTTTGGTTTGTTTGTTGTAAGGTTGAAAAAAAAGAAAAGAATTAGGACCCCCTCCTCACGAGGGCGCGATCCTAAAGCATTTGAGGTGAGAATGAGGTATAAAGCTGAACATTGAAGAGGTACAAAAAGAAATATCTAATTTGTCGATGACAAGATGGTCAACATTTGTAATCCAATTTGCTACTCTGTTTCTATAGACATGCCAAATTTTCGAATGGGGAAATCTGCGAAATAAGATTTGATATCGCTATAACGTGATCAATTTGCCATGAGGTCGACCAAATATCATTCATTGCGTTGACAACGAGGAGATTGTCCCCTTCAATTTAAAGATCTTGTAATCCTTGTTGGAGGGCGAGCATAATTCCCTTAAAGCTTCAGCTACAAAGACGTTGGTGGTTCTAAGGTTGAAAGCTTGTGCTGCAATGGATTTACCGTCACTGTCTCTGATGATGACTCCTGCTGCTGCTAAATTGTTTTTTATTGAATCGTCGAAGTTGAGTTTGAAAGAGTTGAGAGGAGGAGCTTCCCATGCAACTAATTGTGGGTTAGGGTGGTTTGGGTAAGAAAGATGATGGGTTTGAGATTTCTGCATTAGAGACCCCGAGGTTAAAAAGAGTATCTATGAGAATGCGATAATTCCACTCTTTGAACGCAAATTGCGCTTGGTGGAAGGTTCTAGGGATGTCAAGAGTCTCATTCTTAAAAATAATAGAGTTCCGTTCTTTCCAAATACTCCATAAAAGGAAGATAACCTCTCGAAGGGAGGAGTTGTTTTTCCAAAGCGTAGATAATGTCGTTTAAGTCTATAGGTGGAAGTTCACCGGACAATCAGCTTTGGGTTAAAGTGTGGTTCCAAATTTCTTTGGCCCTATCACAAGTAAGAAATAAGTAATTGTGAGATTCCGGATAAGCAGAACAAAAAGTACAAAGATTATTGATTAAAAGGAATAATCTTTCTTTTATAAAGGGTGTCTCTAAGTCCAAGACTATTAAGCATTATTAGACGTACTTGAATTGGTGATCAATCATTGGTGGAAGTGCCCCTATAACGAAGAGCAATAAAGCATCTTTGTATACCAAAGACCATGGCAAATCAATCAATGAAAGTAGTCATGTTGTTTAACTCGTGGATCACAATTACTGCTTCTACAATATAGTTTACTCATTTCTAACTTCTCTCTCACTTAGTTACTCTAAGCTGCGCATGTGGAACTAAGGCACCGGTCTACTAGAGACTTGCATCTGAAATCAAGTCTGGGCAACCTCTAACTCAGATTGTAGCATAAACATAAATATTCCACCTGCCACTGCGACATTAAGAGACTCAAAATTATCAGCCATTGGTATACTTACCAGTTCACAGAATTCCCTTGCTCTCTCCGTAAGACCACTACCCTCGCTGCCTAGAACTAAACATAATGGCGTATCAGCCAGAGAATGTGCAAGCCTTTGGGACAACTTATGAACAGGCTTAGATCCATTGCTACTGGCAGGGTGACCAGCAAACATCTTCACTTGAACTTCATTGCTAAAAGCTTCAAGATGTGCCCAATTTCCCGAAACTAGGGGAAGCTGAAATGGAGCACCTCTGCTAGCCCTGAATGCCTTCTCATTGAAAGGATCACAGCATCCAGGAAGCAGGAAAACACCATTCTGCAGGAAACACCATTCTGTTAAACATGAAAACAAATATTTACATATGTTCTTCTATAGGTTGATAACTAAATGCTGTAGTTCCTTTTTTCCTGTTTAAAATAGAAGAAGAAGTACAAAAGTTTCTATAGTATTTCAGTCCCAAATCTACAATTTAATTAAAGAATAAGAAACTTAATACTGCACATATGTTCAGGTAAGCTGGAAATCTTAAAATGAAAAAAGCGGGTTGGTTTTTCAATTGCATTTTCATTACTTTGGCATGACCAACTATGAAAACTATTCATGACCAGCTACATGCTACATCTATAAAGTGTGAAGCAGACGTTGCTAATTACATGCACTGTGAAATTATAAAACAGGGTTGATAATAGGTAAACTGGAAATCTATATTCACAATTTTTGCAGTACTTGAAACAGGTAAACTGGAAATTTATATAATATTCACAATTTATATTTATTCTTCTTTACAACAATTAAACCTTTGGCAACCACACATAAGAGGTAAAGTTAGAAGCACATAATGATGTATAGTCACTTACCCATTTGAATGCCAGGGCCGATCTAAGCAATGTACCAAGGTTCCCTGGATCCTGCATCAACCATCAAGTTACAGAAGTTAAGACCAGGTAGTCAAACAGTGAAAACTGCACATTACACTTGATAGATTGAATGGTAATACCAAGAAAAGGCACCACGTAGGAAAACTTAAGTATACACACCAAGCCAGACACACTATTATATAGATCATCAATTGATTTACTAAGGTAAAAGTTTGATAGATTTGAAATGGCAGAAATATAAAGAAAAAAAAAAAAAAAAACAGCGAAATCTCAATCCATTATCGCAGTACTTGAAACAGGGTTGATAGTAGGTTGCTCTCATTCTTATACCATAGGCACATCAAGAAACTCTAAAAATTCAACTACTAGTATATATTTTTACACCAAATATATACATAAACTGGCTCACCAAAAATCCCAGTTCTTGAGTAATTTATTTTGACATATTACAGTTTTGAAACTTATAAGACAGTTTAATTCTTGATGAATGATTCTAGCAGATAGTAAAAATTATCTAATGATTAAACCAGGACAAAAAAAAATGTGGTGGAATTTAACACATTTCATTATTGGAGGAGGATGTAGAAATTTCAAAGGCTCCAAGTGCAACAAAAAGTTACCCTAGTAAACAAACTAAGAGAGCAAGCACCAAAGCAAAACCTGAATCCCTTCAAGGACTAGAATTCGATGAGTACCGGCACAACGAAACCATCTTGTACAATCCACCTCGAGACGATCATCACTCAAATCCGTAAAACAATTAGGCATCTTCATGAGAGCTATAACTTCAATTGATTCAGTTGACTGAACCCCAGAAAGCTTTTTCATCACCAAAGAGCTCACATACACTCTCTCTCCAGGAACATCACATAATCCTTCAGGAATTTCAGCTTTATCAAGCACAAATAGACATTCTACTGCCATTTTTTGCTCTTGTTTCAACTTATGAAACTCATGAATTTCCCTGTGTACAAATAATTTGCAAAATTCCCACAAAATTCAGGACACTAAATTGGTCTAATTTGAACAAATTAGCATTGCATTTATCATTCAAATTAAGAACAAAATTGGATAGAATCAGAATTAGTGATTTCCCATTTCAAAAGTTGCAAATTTCAGGTCAAATTCAACAAAAACACAAATTGTACCAAACTTAATAAAATTTAAAATTAGAAATACCCATTTCATAATTTCAAATTCCAGGTCAAATTTAATCAAACCCAGATTAAAAAAAAAAAACCATGACTTACACAGAATTACAACCCTAAAAAACAGAGGAAATTGAAAATTGATGGAAGAAAAATGACCTGATAAGGGTAGTGCCAACGACAAGCACAGAACCATGAGAGTGACGATAAGAAGAACTCTGACGGAGCTTTACGCAATGCTTCACAAATGGGTTTGAAGTGCTGGTGATTGATTTTGCAGTTGGTGGTGAACGAGTTGACTCAGTGAGTAAGCAATTGCTGCCATTTTTAAGATTATGACAAGCTTTTATTCTCTGTATTCTTGTCTGGTAATTTGATGCTTTTATATAAGGGGCTACTTTTGCTCCTTGAAGTTTGTAGGAAGTGGAATACCAGTTTGAGCTTGTGCATTGCATCTTACCAAATCACTAAATTCTGACTTTTCTCTCTCTTTCTCCAGGAGAATTGACTGTTTTAGTCACTCAGTTTCTAACAACACTTGCATAATGCAAATAAAATGGTAGAGGCGTCTGTACAATGAATATTGTGCATCCCGTACAAGATAACATGGTTTGGCGAAATATAAGCTACTCTTTAAATTATCAATGGAAAATATAGAGGCGTATGTCATATTGCTTTAATTGAATCAATACAAAAATAACCGAAATTAACTTATTGGTATACAACTGCTAAAAACAAAAACTAAAAACTTATTGGTATACATAGAGATTGCTATAGTTGGTTGATAGAAAAATATTTCAATGAGAAAATAAGTCGATGATCATATTTTCATATCTCACGTGTTTTCTTCTAAGATAAAAACCACAAGAGTGGGTACCATTACTCAAATCAAAACAAGGTGATATAACATACAGTTATGGTGTGTTTGGACAGCAATGGTAGGAGACTGGGACTCTGGGAGATGGCAACATGATAATCAGCGTTTAATAAATTTTACCAAAGCTCAGTCCTCTCTCTTTCACCCAAGATGGATGTTCAATTTCTGTGAATAACTATGTTAAGAAATCAACAATAGAATCTAATGTCAAGTCACCTGTTCTACACAATCTATGAAGCTGAATGCCTAATGCTAAAAGTTTCTTCTTTCACAAGAGGGCAATACCGATGATGGGGCTTGGTCATGACTAATATCCCCAACCACAGGGTTTAGATCACAAGCCCTTTGGGGCATTGTAGGCATATATGACAACCTCTGATTTGCTGGTTCAATCATCACACTCTCTATTGTACGTAATACCGATGATGGTGCTTGGTCATGAGTCTCATGACTAGTATCCCCAACCATAGGGTGAACACAAGCCCTTGGGGGCATTGCAGGCATATGTGACAACCTCGGAGTTGGTTCAATCTTCACACTCATTGTAGGTACAGACATTTGCTCAGAAATTGTAGCTGCAGCTGTATAAGCTCTTTCAGATTCATAAATAAGTCCCATCTCATGCGATACCATTGACATGTAACTACTCTCAGAAGTAACAAGCAACTGTGGGTCTAGATTATTCCTGTGAGACTCCATTGACAAATTTCCTCTCTCTGCACTTAGATCCATGGCAAGATTGTCGAGGCCCTGAGTTGTGGAGGGATACACCTCAGTGAATGTAGATGTTTGAGGTATATTCACTCCGGATGTGCTAGCAAATGACATTGATGTTGCAGTGCAGGACAGGTCATTTTGAATGGAAGGTCCATTTACTGGCCTATTCAGATCTGTAATTTCTCGTGATGATTTTGGGACTGAATCTGAGGGTTCATGGCTGAAAGAATCTGTATCTGATGATGAAGACACGGTCACTGGAAGGTCAGCTTGATTTGATGCTCCCTCCTCAGATGTCAAGGTTTTGCTTGATAAGATTCCTTTGGAGGTTAGGTCCCTCCATTGTTGTGCAACTATCTTCACCTGTGTATAGAAATGAATACCTGCTTTCCCTACTTTTTTTTTTATTAAAGTTGAAACAAAAACAAAAAATGAATCAGTTATGTAGTCTGAGAGCAGCCTAAGGAGCTTAGCATACAAAAACATAGATTTTCCTTTACTCGACAAGAAGTCGATTGGGTTTTTTAAGGGGTGAAAAGTAATATTATTAGGTTGTTTATTTCAGTGGTTGAAAATATTTTCCTCGTGTAAGGAATGCAATATATTCCTCCATAGCCTCACCTTTCTCTTCTCTCTTCCATCCTCCCCCCCTCAGTTTCTTTTTTTCCTTTTTCTAAGGAAATGTACTTTGAAACCAAAACTTCCGTAGAAAAGAAATTTCAGTTTAAACTGTTACCTATGACCCAAACACAAACTTAGTTATATATACTAGTGCATTCATATCAGGTGTAAGGGATGGGGGTAGAAGAGTGCGGTGTAAATAATACAAGGGGGAAAGAGAATATGGGGAAAGGGTTAAGGAAAAAAGACAGATAGAGACCATGAAAATTGATATTGCCTGCATAGGATTCTGTTGATCCAGCTGAAGAATTTGTCAATGGAAACGGAACAGGAACATTGATCCCAATCTGAGTCAATCATAGAGCATTGTAGCAGGTAAATTTGGCAATGGCCAAGAAACATGAACATTAAGCAGGCCGATTTTGGTTTCACAAATAAGACAGGAGCTTACCAACCCTACTTCAACAATATTCTGAAACTTCCTTGCCGCAATACCAGATGTAGTAAAAATAGATGCTCCATTCCCAAACCTAAACGAGGCAAACAATACTTTGGATGAAGAGCTTTAACAATATACTGAGCTATATCTTTAAAAGTTTCTGCCTCAGAGCCTCTATCAAGATGCAATCATCAGATAACTACTTTGAATGACTAGGTATCAAATATAAATCCAGACATAAAGCAAACCATCTTCAATAAAAGCTGGATAAACCAAATAGTGAAACTAAACTGGAAAACCCAAACTTCAACAAAAGCTGATAATGCAAAAGAGAGCTGAGAAGTACTTGTGCCGGTTGATGATGGCTACGGCATCTTCTAAACTGTGGACCTGCATTCAAACAAATTTGAAATGCCACAAAGAAAAGGTAATACCCTTATTACTCCATAGCAGATGGGAAAATTGAAAGAGAAGAAAAAATTTTAAGTCACCAAATGTTACCTGTGTACATAGCAATACTGGTCCAAAAATATCTTCCTGGAAATGAAAAAATTGAATACTATTATACAAAAGAAAATCCAAATAGCAATTCTTAATTTAACACAATTAGCATAGAGGAGGGTGCAATGATACAGGCACCTTAAAACACTCCATACTAGCTGTGACGTCACTCAAGATTGTCGGGCCAACAAAATTTCCACCCTCATATCCTGGAACCTGGGAACAACCAAAAAATTTACAATTCTTCAGAAAGACTGTAAACACTATACAGTGATCCCGATAAAGATTAGTAACAGTTAGATGTAAGCATGTGATTCATTAAAAGCAATTGTACACAAATTGACACTCATCAATACAGGACAGCTTCAGGAATCAACAATGAACTCAGTCACCGAATGGAAATGGAGCACAAGGAGGAGCAGAAATGAGGTAGAATAATTATTGTAGTTGGTTAACGATAAAATAAAATCAGCAGATGTTCACTGAGGCATGCTTCAGAGCAGTACATGTACAACACCAACCTATCCCCCAGTTAACCGAGTCAAAGATAAGCACACAACTGCAAATTGAGATTTCATTGTTTCCATATCTAGTATATGAAAGCAGATAATGAGAATAGATGTTGGCATTTATGTGATCGATCTTGATGAAGGTAAATGAAAGCGCTACACTACAGGGAGAAAGGGGGGCAAGAAAGAAAAGAGAGTTACACTAGAAAGTAAAACTACTAAGATCTTGATGAGAGTAGTTTGAATATAGAGACTATGCAAACATCTTTTCAAGCAGCCAATTCTTAAATCACTGAGGAAAGAATTCACAAATGTCCCTATTCCCTGAAAATCCAAAATTCTTTTGAATTAACATATGTGCAGATTCAAATGAAAGGTACCAAGACCATAAAGTATCCACAACAAATTCATGCCAGGCTGCAAGCATATGCATATTTTCCCTCCATTTTCTTCATTGTTGTTATTCGGTTATTCCAAGGTTAGGGATTTTGGGAAAGAATAGAGTGGTTGTGGCAGAAAAGGTTGTTTTACCTGATTTGATAATATCATCCATTAAAGCGACTTGCCACATCCATTCAAAGTCCAAACACATACTTTGTTTACGTTTTTTCGACTCTAAGTAGCCAATACATACCAACATGAGACTTATTACGGTAGAGACTGCCTTGAAGTACTTAATCCATTTATTTACACAACAGAATTTTATATTTCAAAGATGAAGATGCAAGCTAGAATATTATTAGCCCAAAACAATATGGGGACAGTACCATGATGTCCCTTCCATCAAGAATAAGTCTAGCACCACTTTCAACAGCAGTTTGTACTGATCTACATATTCCATCCTTCACCTGCAACATTACACAAGCACATTGGTCTGACAGGGGTGACAGGATGATAGAATAAAGTTAATAAAAGTGAAGTTTATGTGTATATATATATATATATATATCAAACACCAAAATTTGTAGACATCAGAATAGTGAGGTTAAACACCAAAAGTTAATAAAAGTGAAGTGTATATATATATATATATATATATATATATATATATATATATATATATATATATATATATCATACAGTAAAATCTGTAGACATCAGAATAGTGAGGTTAAACACCAAAAAAAAAGACAAGTTGATTAAATGTGACAAATATCAACTTATATAGAGGAAGTCAAACCACAGGTAAACATGCACAACAAGTACTTGTTCGTACCTCCTTGCTGAGTACTGGACCCACATCTGCTCCTGTATCTGTTCCTCCAGATACTGTTAGGGTTTTAGCACGTTTGACAAGTTCTTTCTCCCTGAAATGTTCCAGCAATCCTGCATCAGTATGTCATGTTTTGGCTCAAGAATGTTATGCCATTGGCCTAACTAGATATATCATATATGCTACGAACAAAGATAAATTAAACAAAATATTAATGCTTCAAAACCATGGTGTAGCGTTTCCAACAAAAATCACTGAGCTGAGTGACATGTAGGGATCTCCTGCAGCAACAAATCCAGAAGCAACCAAAGCATCAAGCGTAGCATCCATGCATGCATCAGGCATGACAACAGCCTGATTTTTGGACCCTGAATTGACCTACATAAAGATGGGAAAACAGTCGAAAGAAGAGTCAAGATTCTATAATAATTCACAAGCACATTATAAGATCTCTGCCTTCAGAACTGCAGAGAGCACACTATATTCAACTTAAATAATAAATTATAATTATTTTATTTAACCATAAACCCGAGAATTTATGAAGTCTTACCCAAACTAGTCAATACTAACTTCGAGGTTGTTGCCTTATGGCTCACAATATAACATTTTCAAAGATAAAGGAATGTAAGAAAAAGAAGACAAGTATAAAGTCCAATGTTTAAAATACTACAAATAATAGAGTATGCCCAGCACTAGTTTTAGGAGTTGTGCTTGTATAAATTAGATGGTGATATAACTCATACAAGTGTCAATCATTTAATCAACCCAATTTTTTTGAACAAAATGCAGTGTCAGGATAAAAGCTAGAGGTTTGGATAATGTTTGTGGAAGTCTAATAAGATCCATTTTCAGTGGTTAGCAGAAGAGATAATTTCCATCCGAACTATGCTTTATCCAATTTCATAGCATTTTATTCTGTCCATTATTCAGATCATTTTATGTAAATCTGCAGTCAACAGTTGCCATGAAATTTCTGAGCATCTTTCTTTAATTAATTAGATAGACAGTCAAGATACTTCCTTCATTGCAAATACTCACCCAAATTTGCCATTTTAATTTATTGCACAATACTCATCCTGTTTTATTTTTTATTTTTTAAACACGTGGCCCACCTTGTACTCCCTCAATAAATGTGCCCAAACCAAATGAGTGAGAATTTTAAATCAAAGGGAGTGATACACAACATCCAATTTCTAACAAGTTACAAATCAATAAACCACTACACAAACAAATTAAGTTACCAGATATGTCCTGGACCAAGAAAACTGGCCATCTTAGATTCAGTAATCAGTAACACAGAGGTTAATCTTATGAAGTACTTCGTATATTGTTATTTATATGACACATTTCAACAGTAAAATGATGAGTGGACAAGTACAAAAATAACTTGCTAAGATATAGGTTGAAATTTTTACCTCAACACGTTTCCCTCTGACAGTTGCTTTAGCATATATGTCCATACAATCCTAAGACAAAAGATAATTATAAAGAAAAGAGTAGTAAATAAACATGTAATACGTGTACTGAATGAGTAGCAGAAGCAGAATGAACATTAGACAGAAGTCATAGAGGTTGTAACAATAAGAGTCTACAGAAGCATAGAAGCTGCAACTTAAATGCAGTCAAGCCCAGCCAAGGATTCCAATAATATGTGCATGTCAGGATGTGTTTCTGTATTTTCTGCCAGCCGTTATTATAGTACAATTATATGCTATGATTGTGTAGTAGCTGTCTTTATATATTTTAGGAAGATTTCTAAGACTGCTAACTGTCTTTCCTCTGATTGGTTGTAAGACGTTTGACTTCTGTATAAAGCCTTACACTGTTCTTCGATTACACAAATGGATTAAGACTTTGGACTCATTATTCAAATTAGGAAGAGCTAACAATACAACCGTTTGGACAATTAATACTTCTAGCAGAATTTATTTGATCACAAGTCACAAAAGTCACAGTCATCACAAACACACACACCAAATAAAAACCTTCTGGAGTTCTGGCCAATGATTCATAAAACCACATATTCCAACTCATAATTTCCCATCATCTAACATTAAAAGGAAGAATAACAACCTATGATGTCTCTAGGGAAGAACAGAATATCTTGTTGCATGTCACAAAGAGGTCAGTGAATAGATACAGGCACTTCAAAGCTGAAAAAACTAATGTTGAATTATAACATCTTATCAGAATTTTCTGATATTCTGAGAAACTTGAAACAACCAATGAAGTCATTACTCAAACATTAAGGAAATAAATTACCTTATAGGCGCCAACACATGATATGGATTTTATATCGTCATCATCACATACATAATTAACGATGTCCTGTTCAAGTAATTTTTCATCAAGTAATTGGGTTAGTTTAAAGAACCCAAATCAGGAAATCAAAATATGTAATAAAAGGAAATATAAATAACTAGGGCACACATAAACGAAATAGTTATCATGATGACCTTTATTGGCATCACAACCTGCAGAGAGAGAGAGAGAGAGAGAGAGAGAGGGGGGGGGGGAGGGAGGGGGGAGCTTACATTGCCTCCATGAACAATATTTAAGACTCCATTAGGAAAGCCTGCCTCTATGGCCAATGCTGCAAGCTTCATTGAAGCACCTGGGATAAAACAAAATGCAAGAATGTATCTAACAGTAGTCAATGACTGGGATTACAGACAATACCAAGCATCCAATGATAATATTTATCTGCCACCTTATAATAGTAAACTAACAGTAAACTTGTAGTGAAGAAAGGTGTGGATAGATCAAGATGATAGAAAATGTAGATAGAAGGGTATTCTGGAAACAGAGAGTAAACATGCACTCAAAAGGTGAGCAAAAGAATTTTTTCATACAATCTATAAGGATTATAACACCAAATTACCCAAAGGAGGAAAGACCTCCCCAAAAATGTCCATTATAATATCCTAGAGTGCCATAAATACGTTTCAAGTATTGGCATGTACCTGTTGAGAACTCAAGTGAAGCACTTGGCCGTAGTCTCAATTTTTTTTGTCACTCTTTGTTGCAGTGCCCCAACCTTGATTGTTGCCTCTCACATTCAGCATTCCAGTACTAAAAGTCAAAGCCATATGCCCAAATGAGCTCATCAATTCCTAAATTTCTAGTATAGCCACAAATAAAATGAAGCATCCCTATCATCGAAATTAGTAGCTTATGACCAAAACTTGCTCCATGGTCCCTTTGCACTGTAAAGTAAGCTCGCCTTGAGCCACCAGCAAATACTTTCCAATGAATTCAATATGTTTCCACAATGTTGTGGTGGCTTTATGTATCTTCTGGAATCCTCAGATATTTAAGCTATCTCAAGCAGTCCTTCTAAAGTACATCTCTCTACCAATCCTAACTCACCAAAACCTTTACTGATCACAATAGTCGCAAAAGAAATCTCATATCTCTTAACACAATTACTGAGATTGTAAGCATTACTCTAAACTTATACTAACATTTTCAGCCTTGGAAATCTTTTCATCTTTCATCCACCAAAACAATGTCATCAGCAAACAGGACACGCTGAAATCATCCAGTATCATCCTGGTGACTACCAAGTCATCCAAGATTTTTGCATAAAGTGGCAGGCTCACCCTTAATGGAACTCAAAAGCCAAATCAATAGGGTAGCTCTACATCCCCTCCTTGACCTCTCCTCACCTAATGATAACTTAATCTCCTTCTTGAATATCCTTGAGGACTCATAATAACAGGCAAATACACCCACTCCCTTGTTTTTTTCAAATTATTTTATATCTAAACTTGTATTTTCTTAACTTACTTTCACTATTGAACTTATCTTTTTTGCTTCATCTGAACCAATTTTGGCTGAATTATCTGAACTTCTTTTGCTACAAAATAATTTAAAATAAGATAATATAAATTGACCCTACGAAGCTAATGGAAGCATCTTTAGAAACCATATGATATACAATATTCATTATAAATTGAATCATATGCTCCACTTTAATAACCCTGAATTTAGTATCACATCGTTCGCAGTTAGGTGTATAAAGCAAAGCATCTTAAGAGCTTATGATAGATTTACAACCCATCAAGTTTCAAAAGCCCAAAAGAATATACATGATGTCAGTAGTAAAAGAGATCCATTATTTCATTAAGTAGTTCTGTGTATGTCCAGGATTTTTGAGAGGCAATAATCTCACAACCATAACAGTACACTTAAATATCATCATCAGAAACAGCTTTTTGCCAATTTCCTACTCTACTGGATATATAGCGCAAATCTATAAGCTTTCTATCCAAAACACTTGAATTTCAAAAATATTACAATGTAATAACAATGCAGAAGAGCAACAAATCACCTGGATTTTTCTCAGATGGCTTTAGGACAAATGTATTCCCACATGTAACTGCAACTAAGAACATCTGCCAAAAAAACCTACATGGCTCAAGAAAAATCTCAACATTTCGACATGATAACAAAACTCGTTGCATGTTGGATTAATATTTACATGGTGAAGTGAGAGGTTTTGCAGGATCAGATAAGGAGCTGAGAAGAGTAATATTGGGATAAAGGTCAATAAGTTTTTTATATGATATCATCATAAGATTCGTAGTTAAAAAAAGATATGAAAAAAAAGGGAATAAAATGTTCAAATAACCAAGCTTTAAGTTTAAGGATGTTAGGTATCCGTAATTCTATAGCAATTAACTAATCAAAAAGCACAATTAAGGTAAACTAAATGGTTACTATTTGCAAAAGCGCATCCTTTGAGGGGGAAGTGATGTCTGCGAGCTCAAGAGTCAGCACTCAACATTTCTAAAATTTTAAATGTTTTTGCTAGCTTGATACAAAATAGAGGATTCATGTTCCTTGAATTGTGATTATTGAGTTATTATAATTTCATAACAGATGGATGCTCTCCTCAACATCTGCTGTCTATATCTGTAAAGAATAAAGTCTATCCTAATATAACACATCTTAGTGAAAATCAGTTTCACAAAGTGTATCCAAGTAGCTAGATTGATGCTTACCCAATTATTCATCACAGACAAGCAACTAATTAGCAAGAGGAATATAAAATACTGAAAACATACTCGCAAGGGGACCATAGAGGAGAAGTTAGAATTGCATATCCCAGCACAAACACCTAGAGGTTCCCTGATGGAGTACATATCAGTCGCATTAGAAGCATTAGCCATAAACTCCCCCCATTGTACAGTTGTAATCTCACAAGCATGTTCAAGCACCTCTAGAAGAATAAAAAAATAAAAAAATAAAAAAACAACACGAAGATTAGCTGTTCTGAGTTGTGATTCTTTTCTTTCAAGCGACAAAATAACAATCTTTACCTAACCAATGGAGGATATCAGCATGAGCACTCTTTGTTGTCTTCCCCTGTTCAGTGTTGATAATCAAGGCAAGCTTCTCCTGGAAAAGAAGCTTTATAATTAATACTAAATATCAAATAAAAATAAAAGGCGAACATACAAATTTTGCACCCTCACTTTGTCTCTGTGTATGAGCTCTTGGAGTTTCATCATAATACGCTGTCGAGTGAAAACAGGTGTATTCTTCCACAAAGGAAAAGCTTCTTTTGCTGAAAAAACAGCAGCTTTAAACTCTTCAAATGTCGTTGAAGGCACTTGAGACACAACCTCTTGAGTTGCCTGCTTGAAGATGCACAATTAGTCACCATGACTGGCTACAAGAAACTGAAGGCAACACGAGCAGAAAATGTACACTCACAGGATTGATAACATCAACAAAGACAACTCCTTGTGATTCCACAAATTTTCCACCAATTAAATTGGATACCTTCATCTGCAAATGTTGGAGTAGAAAATGCTTTCTGTAAGATACACACCTTCAAATTTTCATTCTTTACTTTGTTTTAGCAGTTGCTTGTGGAAACTATGACCATTTATGACAAGCTTATAAGCACACACAGTAGCATATATTTTATGGTGAGACCTTACTTGCTCCACAATGTCGCTGGAAGTGCCTACAGAAGATGCATTAGGCCTCCATGACTTAAAACTTCTTTCTGTTCCAAAAAAATAACAAGGTAAGATTCATAGGAGTCTTTGCTTCAACAAGCCTGAATTATGCTGCTATGATTTGCCTATGAATCACATTGTAAATCAGATAGCTGATCTTTTATTCAAACAAATGCACCAACAAACCTTCCTTCACCACACCCCTTCAAAAAAAATTGCCAAAGACAAAAGGCATCATCACAAAAATATTTCACATTGTCGGCAGTAAAATCAAGGACAAATAGTAGTGATGTTGTCATGCCTAAGTCAAACCGTCCATTCTAATTACCATACAACAAAGCACTATCATCTACTCATATTATCACTTAAATAATAAAATTGTTAGCAAATTACCAATACCACGTGGGTGCTTAATCACATAAGCTTGTGCCTTTTCACTTCAATGATAGCACATGAGCTTGTGCTTTTTCACTTCAATGATAAGCATAATTGTATAACTAACAACATTAACTCATAGTACCTACACTAAAAATAAAAGTTTCTTGATATAGGTATGCTTCAGAGGTTAACATCTCAAATGCATAAATGAGCATGCTTAATGCAATGTCTTCACCCCAAAATTCTTGCAGATTTCCTTCACTTTATGCGCCCTCGTTCTTAACACTGTTTCCTAATATAACATTGTAAAACTATGAAGCACTATACAGTAGTTGATAATGTTAATGTCGTAATACAATAATAAGCACAAAGTATAGAAGGCACTTAAAAGCCAAAACCTTTCAGTCCACTAGGATAACAACAAAATACCCCCAACAGACTCATATTTTCAGACATTGGACACTTGTAAAAATTAATCATAAGTATTAGATAGCTCAAAATAATTTAACATGCAGGTTATCAACTTATATTCAGACATAAAAGTCAAGCCCAGGAGAGCTACCAAGTGCAAGGTGCATTTGGCATAACTACCAACAAAACATAGATATCAATGAGAAAATATCGCGTAGAACCTGAGAAATTTCCTTCACGAATTTTAGTTTTGAGATTGTACAAATGCCTTGGGGTGGACTGAAGTTGTGGATTACTTTGCTTCAGAGTCTCAAGCACTTGGCGTGGTTTTATACCTGCCTCAATCATTTCCTTAACTTGCCTAGCCTCTTCTTCATTGAAGCGACGACTAAATCTATGCTCTGACATATCCTTTAAGGGTTCATGGTTGTGTTCTCCGTTTCTAATCTTAAGCACCCAAACATCCTCTTCTTTTTTACCGATGATCTCAAAAGGGCAGTTTATGAGGCGTGAGTTTTCCTTTCTCTTGCGCTTAGGAGCCTCAGACTTGTGTCTATTGCGACGACCTCCTCCTCTATCACAGCCAAGGACAACATTGATGTCTCTTTTAGACTTCCTGATAGTCAACACATAACCCTGGCTCACACCAAAATCACGAACATATGTAATAAGTTCCTCTCTATCTTTGAAGGTTCGAGGTGGAGGAGGGCACATCACATTTGGCTGAACGCTCTCCATGGCTCTTTACATGGATGATTAAGATTTATGCAAAATTCTGCAAACATAGGCATATATCAAAAGGAAGTTTTTCCCATTGCAGCATTCACAAAGTCACATAAGTCTACAACTCCAGCACATCATTTGAGAAATAATAGTTAAAAAAAATAGTCAACAAGCAAAGTCAACTTCATTACTGAGGCAGAGGGACAACAATTAAGTTGGGCTTAAATTTAATAGTTTTTAAAACTAATTTATTTGAAAAAAATTATAATGTGGGATTGTAGGATCTTGTTAAATTTTTCTCGATGTGCATTTTCCAAATATTTTTTAATCAATACACGAATTAAGTTCATTGTTTTGATGTGGTTAGACTGAATCCTTTTTGTTCCGGTTTGATTCTAACAAGAATAAATTCTTTAGGAGCAGAGAACATAACTAAAATGTTCCTTCCACAACCAAAATAAAAGCTGGTCATGAAATGCTATGATCAGGGCTACTGGACTAGTGATTGCCCTTCATTATGTCCCCCCACCTCCCCGCCTCGCCCCCGCTCCCGAAAAAAACAATTGTGTGGCTAGCTAGAAAGTGCCATGTACCACTTCATTGTCTCCATTACAAGGTTCCAAGAGGGCAACCCCATTAAGCATATCAGAAAGTTCAAAAGTCGCCCACACACCCACAAGGCCACAATTTATGATAATGATGATAATAAACTAATAATACAATTGATTGTGATAATATGTATTACATTCTCACAAAAATCATAACATTTACTACCCAGAATGTAATTACAATGATCAATCAAGCAAACAAATGCGCATCAATATTACATTTCTACTGTGTGTAAATAAGCAATACCACGGAATAAAGATTCTAACTTTTAATAAATCAATTCGAATTGGAAATGGCAATTGAAGAATTTCCCAGCAGAAAATCGTAACATCAAATATGAAGAACACAAAAGCTCTCAATTAAGAATATTAAATGTATCAAATTCATGTGTTAAAACTATAATTGTAACGAAGATTGAAGTTATTACCTGATGATCAGAAATTAGTCATACAAAAGACTGATAATGGGGGACAGAGAATAGAGAGGGCAATTTGGATGTTGAGGAAGAATGAACTGACTTGTGAGACTTTTTTTTTTTTTTTTTTCTTTTTTTAGGGTATGAGTGATTTTTACACTCTAAAATTTGATTTACTAGTTGCCATTTTCCATTTATGACTTACCACTCTCAATGTGAAAGTCATAAAGTAACTTTCATTTCATAATAATTGCAACATTTTGTATTATTTCGTAATTTTTTTCAATACATATGAAGTAATTGACAATTGTGTCAGTCAAACTATTGCGATTATTAAGAAACGAAGAAAATATTTAAAACCTATAATCATAAAAATAATGTAGAAATCTGTTACACCCTGTCGAACTACCAATATTGTGGGTCTTAAGTGATTTAAGATCTTCTAGGTTATTTTCCTTAAATATTAGCAAAATTAGCAAATGTCTATATATTTATTCATCCTACATATTGACTAATGGTTACTCTTTGTTACTAAACTATACATCATGCACAATTTACCCTCTTTAGTATTTTGTTAACTGATTAGGGTTAAAAATAAAAAGTAAAATAGTGAAATCATGTGTTAATGAGAAAGATAAAGTGATAAGACTATGGAATTCTTTATGAAATGGTCTTTGAAAGTTAAGTTAAAGCCATGGGAGTTGAAACAAAGGCCATTCATTTTGGCCTCTTTGATACATTACAAGAAGAAACTCTAATTGCTCAAATATCTATAACTTATTTTATCATATTGATCATCATCAACCATAACAAACACAATTTTGGTAATGACTAAGATAAGTGTAGTTTGTTAGATTTTGAATAAACTTCTCAAATGAAATGTGTACATGATCAATATATGTAGAATTTACAAGATTAGTCATAATCACATTAGCACTTTTCACCTATAATAAAGTAATCTATAAAGATGTTACGTACTAACTTAGAATTCTAACATAGTAGATTAGTAGCGCTCTGATTAGAGTTGACAATCTCTTACACACAAATCCGACCTAAAGTTACTAAGTGGCTAAATCCATCAACACACAATAACCTACACCCGACCCGATAATAACTTCCAAGCTTGTTCCATGTGTCTTTGGGCCTTGCGGTAGGGCCGTGAGGAAAAATCAAAAGGGCCAAATCTACCGAAACTGTATGGCCCATACCGAATTGGCTGTCATTATTTTACATCACCTCCATGAAACGCTAACGTATTCATTATTGATTTGTCTGTCATTATTTTATATCACCTCCATGTAACGGCCAATCTTCATTCTCCAACGGTCGAAATTGCAAATTTTGAACACCCTTCGCACTAAAAAGGAAACTCCAAAAAAGACTCATTTCTTACTCCTTTTATCTCCAAAATTCATAATTTGAACTTTCATCAACATTTTTGAGTAACAATTCAAGCAATTTATTGATTTTTTTTTTTCTCTCATGGAAAACTGCAAATTCGATGAATTTACCCGAATCGAAGAAACCCTAATTCCGGACAATTCATCTTCTGGGGTTTTGGATTGGGAGAAGAAAGATCCACCTGAAATTCACCAACAAGATGTTATGGTCGAAACAACCCTAATTGAAGAATTTAAAGATTCCCAAATGAACGATTTTCAAGAATTTTCTGGGGATTCTATGGTTTGCGACCCGAGTTCGAAATTAGTTCCAAATGGGTTTTCAAGATCGTGTTGTACAGGTTAGGGTTTTTCTATTTTTTTTCCCCAATTATTATTGTTGGTTATTTTTTAGCTCCTTGGGTTTTAATTTAAAGTGATCACATTTGGAAATTATTAAATAAATAAATATAAATGGGGTGTTTGTAATTTACTGTATGAATTAGTCAAATGTCTACTGGAAATGCTGTCTGAAGGTTGATGAAATCGTTTATATTTATGTAATTAATGTACATGACTAGCTTTTAAACCCGTGCGATACACAGCTAAATGAATGAATTTCAATAAGGATAAGAAGAATGATTTGTATGCTACATGTTTCGTCAAATTTGTATATTTGAGCTGTATATGTGATTCAGTTACTTTGATTAGTAATGCTGATTGGGTTGAAAGGAAAGTATTTTGAACTGAAATTTTATTTTCTTTAGGAAATACTGTTTAATGCTACAAAAATCAGCATTCAAACTTATTTCTCAATACTTTGTTGTTGCTAAAAATTTAGAGAGGTGAGATGAAGGGGAAGGAGGGGAGGAGATAAACTGTGCTCCTATTCCTAGAATGAAGAATTAATATCAACCCAACAAAAGTTTTTTTCCCCTATATCCCTAGAGTGATTTTTTCTCCCTTTGTAAAATTAATATCAACCCAACAAAAGATTTTTTTACAATCAACAACAGTATAGAGACAATTATTATAATTTAAGGGCTTAGAGAATTTTCTACTCATCTGCTGATGACTCTTTGCCTTTTGTAACTAGAGGACATTGTCACATTTGTTAATGCTGGCTGTGAGGCTTCAAGTCAAGCAGAATCGGGTGTAGAATTTTCAGCAGATGATAAGTATCTAGGCGGGGATGTTACAAAGACAGATGAATGCATAATTGAGGCTGGTGATTACCCATTTGTATATCAGTCTGCACGATTCGGGAACTTTAGCTACCAGTTCAACAATCTTCCCCCTGGGGATTACTTTGTTGACCTTCATTTTGCTGAGATTATGTATACCTATGGGCCTCGAGGAATGAGAGTATTCAATGTCGTGATTCAGGATGAGAAGGCAAGTTTCAGCCTGAAATCTTTCTGATATGACCTCTTTATGCTGAATCATTGTAGTGTACTAATAATTGTGCTTTAAATGTCATAAAACTGGCAGGTTCTCTCTGATTTTGATATATTTGCTGTGGCTGGAGCAAACAAGCCACTTCGGCTAGTTGACTGTAGAGTCACTGTTAAGGAGGATGGTATGATCCTAATAAGGTTTGAAGGTGTTAGTGGAAGTCCAATAGTTAGTGGAATTTGCATTCGCAAAGCACCAAAATTGGCAGGTAGATTCCACCTAGAATTTATGGGTTATTCCAAATCTGACTTCACAAAGATGCAACTGATTCTAATTTTATCATATTTAATTCTACTTGGACATAGATTCTCAGGTGAAACATGAAGTATTTAGGTGTCAGAATTGTGCAGCTGAAATAGAAGTTCTAGCTCAGGTAATGAATGGGCACAGTGCAGTTCTCGATTTCTAATGTTAAGGTTTTATTGCTACTTCTGAATCATGTAATGACACTTCACATCAGGAAAAGGGCTTGCGACCTAAATCGACAGCTAAGTATGAGAAAAAGATAGAAGAATTAAGTCAGCAGTGTCAGCGCAAAACAGATGAATGCTATCAAGCCTGGATGTCTTTGACAGCAGCAAACGAGCAGCTGGAAAAGGTTAGAATGGAGCTTGACAACAGAGTGTTCAAGTCTTATTCTCTAGGTAAAAACTTCACAAAGCCCTTGTTTATGGAATTATGTTAAGTACAACAGGACACTATAAATTTGTACCTTAATATATTTTTTCTGCCATCTGATGTCCAATATATGAAAAAGTACTTTGGCATCTTCATGTATCTGATTCGTAATTCTTCCGGTGCTTTTTTCTTGTTTGAAACAAATTGTGAGATTGCTTCTTAGTTTTAAGTCCTTATTTTATGTCAACTCACTGAAAATTTTCATAAAAATGAGAGTTTTATGTATGAGCCTTCTGCTGATAATTTTCTGTGTGGTTTTGGCAAATTATGAATTGATATTGTGATTATTCAGTCAAGTATATTCTCCAAATATTTTAAATTTAGATACCAAGCCATGCTTAAATGTTGTATATTACCTCCCTGATATTTTTTCTTTTTTGTCTATAGACCAGACTGTGGAGAAACAGGCTGAAAGTTTAAAAGCCATATCTAGCAGGTATGAGCAGGATAAGAAGTTCTGGATGACAGCAATATCTGGTTTAGAAGAAAAAATTAAGGTATACTATACAAGTACTTTGCACCCACATTTTTGATTAATTGAGCTTCATCTGCAATGCCTTTATCAAGCAAATGATGAGTTGCAAACTTACACAGAATATGAAGGAAGAACATTCTCAGCTTGCCCATGATGCACATGAAACTGCTGATTCAATTCCCGAGTTATCCAATATGGTTTCAGCAGTTCAGATGCTAGGTAGGTTTGGATTATTAAAGACACAGAATTTGCTATTTGTGGATGTTAAGAGATTGCATTCAATTTTTCTGCAGTTGCTCAGTGTGAGGAATTCAAACAGAAGTATATTGAAGAACAAAAGAAGAGAAAGAAGCTTTTTAATGAAGTTCAAGAGGCCAAAGGCATGTGCTTTTTATATTGCAGTTTGAAGCTTATTCAGTAATGGAGAAATCCTGATATAACCACCATACAGATTTTCCAAGATAAAAATTTAAAATGAAGATTCTGATTATCACTCTTAATTTCAGGGAATATCAGGGTCTTCTGCCGTTGCCGGCCTCTCAGTAAGAAGGAACAAACAGCTGGATATGCAACTGTAGTTGATTTTGAAGGAGCCAAAGATGGAGAACTTGCTATTTTGAATGGCGGATCAAATAAGAAGATGTTCAAATTTGACAGAGTTTACACACCAAAGGATGATCAAGGTACACTGTTGAGGGTTTGATTTAATGCTATACAGCTATTGTACTGACTTCTTACTTGGAGTTGAAGGCTACTTGTTCATGCTGTACGTCTAAGAGATTAACTAAGTTGTGTTTTTGCTATGCAGCTGATGTGTTCATGGATGCTTCTCCAATGGCAACATCGGTTTTGGATGGGTATAATGTTTGCATATTTGCTTATGGTCAAACTGGAACTGGGAAGACCTTTACAATGGAGGGCACAGAGCAAAATCGTGGTGTGAATTATAGAACTCTTGAGATGCTGTTTAAAATTGCCAAGGAGAGGAGTGATACCTACACGTATGACTTATCAGTTAGTGTGCTTGAAGTCTATAATGAGCAGATCAGGGATCTCTTGGGCTCCTCGCCAACATCTAAAAAGTAAATATTGACCCCTTTCCTGTGTCCTGTTGCTATGCATTTCACTTTTTCCTTTAGAAGCAATAGTAACATATGGGGTATGGGCAATGGCAATCAAGTTCATTTTTTCAAAGTCATTTTATATTCTGTAACTTGCTGTTTCTCTTTGCACCTAAAAGACTACCTATTGATCTGTGCTTTTCTCTCCTGGTGTAACATATGGGCTATGGGCAATGGCAATCAAGTTCATTTTTTCAAAGTCATTTTATATTCTGTAACTTGCTGTTTCTCTTTGCACCTAAAAGACTGCTTATTGATCTGTGCTTTTCTCTCCTGGTGTTCAGGTTAGAGATAAAGCAAGCTTCTGAAGGCTCGCACCACGTTCCTGGACTTGTTGAAGCAAAAGTGGAGAATACAAAACAAG